GACTTGCTGGGGTATGTTTGGAAAAGCGACATCTCTAAGGATCCCGCCCCTTCGGTGACGTCGGGCTAGGAACGTGGGCCTTGTGGCGCCGTGTTTACCAGAGACTTCTCCCTGCCTCGTTCACTCCGAGTCTTGGCTTGGCGCTTGCCGTTCCATTTCTTCGAGCTTAACGTATTTCTCTCCAGTAAGCTTCCCGTTGATAGTCCTTTTCGTCTTGTGGAGCTCTTCCCGGTCCTTGTCACAAGTTCGAACCCCAGGTATATGTCTCGCGCCCAAACCTTTCTTGTCTCGCAAAGTTTTTTACATTTGACCCACCCCTCCTCCGCGTATGTACAGAAGGCGCAAAAATTCCGTAAGTTTCACTTATGTTTTTAACTTGGAAGCCGCAGTCACGGCGAACCAAATCTGATGTTTTGCGTTGTAATGGGTTTCTTTTCATCTGCAGGGGCGATGACATCCATATGCCGTTCCGTGGAGGGTTGGACCTTTGTTTTCCGACGGTGTCTTGCCATCGGCTTACGAGGCAGCCATTATCCAAGTTCTGTTTATGCTCGGGCGGCCCCCGTTAGGGCTTATAATAAGTGGACGGACGCTACTAGCATCTCACGAATGTTTACTCTCCTCATGTACACGCGGACCACTGGATTTTTCTGGAACTTACGACTTTCTCATATATCACCGATCACCGACACCAACGCAGATGTGCATATGTTGTGCCCCAATCATTTTAACCAACCTGGGTTGTCATCATGTTTTGCTTCTCTATTTTATACAGTCTAGGTCCTCCCATTTATTTTCGTCAAAGTGGCGCCGGTTTTCAACATGAAAGGCTATCATGTCTTCGGCGATTTGAGCTGTCAGGTTTCCTCCCTGATGGCCTTCTCCCGCATTGTCTCTATACACGTTTCCGGGTATGTTACTGTTGTCAACCATGTTGTTGACGGATGCTTTCTATCAAACTATTATAAGCCTCGATGCTCCCCTTCGTATATGTCGTTTCTATTACTCATACCCGATGGATGTCAGTTAGTCTACTAGAATGTCATGTACTGCTAACATGACAACAGAGTCTAAACATGTGTGGACTTGCCGTTGTCTTAGGCTAGTGAGGTAATTGGAACATTCAAAATGAGTTAATCCCGACGGTAATGGTAAGGACCTATGGAGACCTCGACGACAATTGTTGGCTTGTCCAATATAATCATCACGTAACGCAAGTATGATTCGATAAAATTAGCAACATGCGCGCGTCTAAAGTTCTTCGAGCCTCGATCGGGGAATTTCCTATTATATGGGTGCTTCTCGTTGTGCGTTGTGTTTTGGATTGATCAGTATCAGAAGGTGAAACCGCGAAGAAAGAGGGATGAAGACTGGACAGGAGGGAAGTTATCGAGGCTATGAAACTTGGGGAATGAGCATGAGCGAATGGAGCGGCGTGGAGGGGCAATGGCAAGATCATTTGATGTCGGTTCCTGGTACGAGGATGGAAAGAGTCTATTTCGGCGCCGGCGTGACGGTGACGGAGGAAAAGCCCTATGGGGATAGGCAGTGAGGTACGAAGATCATCAGAGTCGATATCTTCAAAATGGCATGGGCGGCGGGTCAGTAGGCAAAGGGGCTTGGGAAAAATAGACAGAAAGTCCGATGGGGGAACCCGAAAATTGAGTGTGAGGTGGAGCAATGTATGGGCTTAACACGGACTCCATTTCAGCTGAGACAACGATGGATAGACAGGATATCGGGACATTACATTCCGAGTGACGGTGGTGAGTAATTGACGGTGGAGATAGTCATCGGTGGATATTAAGGGCCTGTTATTGGCAGCTCAATAGACAGAGTTCGGGTGGATGAAATAGAAGAAAAGAACAGAACAGAATAAAGCAAGGCAAAGGCTAGTCGTTGGTAGTTAAATCGGGAGATCAAAGCAATCCAGTTTAGGTCGCTAGCAGCCTAATTGAATAGAGAGACATGGTATGGGGCTGCGGCGGAACATGGGTGGAGATTTGAGATGGGTGGATGCTGCGATGAGAGCCTAAGACTGGCCATCATGGCATCAACCAGTGATTGCATTGGGCTGGGCATTTTCCGAGAGTCCAGTCAGACATAGGAGCACCCGAACACGTACGTCTTCGGGGGCAGCGATTCAGCGAGACGTAGGCTCGATACCAGCCTGTTTCTTTCCTGGAGACCCACCTGGGCTGATGATCGTTTAATAGAACAATCGCCATATGGAATGGGAGTGGAGATTACCTGACAAGTGGCCCGATAATGGTGAAACACGCGACTCGAATGACGACCGTTGAGTAAGTTTGGGATAGTCTTTTTTCTCGGAGAAGAACTGAATGAAAACACGAGACTAAATGGGCCTGGCTGCCATATGGAAGACCATCCCGCGAAGCACGTAGGACTCGCAGATCGGTCCTGGACTGCTGTCGGATGACACTTCTCCGCTGGGCAAGTCGCCGGTTGCTGCTTGAAGCTGAGGATCTGCTACGATTGTGTAAAATCTAGGATCATAATTAATTATCGATTTGATCCGTTCCCTGTTTTGTGACCATCCGAGGAGGCGAAATAGGGCTTTCCGCGGGTTTGACAGCCTCGAATACAGTATATGGCTCTCTTTGAACTTTTCGAACTAGGAAGATGCTAAAAATAGGACATGTGACGCGCGTGACATACATATCCCGGTAATATTTTTCATTTTGGCCTTTTCATTTTTGTTTCCGTCTGCAACAAACTCGTAACAGTTAACATAATGCGAGCCGAATATGCAGCGAGTCCGTTCATGTTAAATATCGTTATCCTTGCCATCCTCCATGACCATTTGCTTTGTTTCTCTGCATGTCGTCCCCTGCTGCTGTGCCTTCGTGCTCGACGTCGCCTTCCCCCGCCGCCGTCGTCGCTCCCAACGACGGCGGGACGCGCGCCAATACTCCCCGTGCACACTCGCCGCCGCCCCGCCAGGCCGTGGCCACCCCGCCCGTCTCCACATCACCACCGACGATCAAGCGCTCTGACTCCCCGCCCCCGACGCTAGGAAAGCGGCCTCGTGCGGTCTCCGTCCCCGGCCCTGACAATAGACCACCCGTCATCGAGGATAGGAAATACCGCGGCGACAGGCCCCTCCAGCCCTCAGAGTACGAGAGCGGTCGTGTCATATGCGAGACCTGCAGTACCAGCGTCTCTTTCCGTGACGAGCACAGCGGCGAGTTCACCCTCAAGCATTGGGAGGCGCACAGGGTTACCTGGTCAGTCGACGTTGCCGGCTATTTTTCACTGTTGTCGCTCATGTCTTATGGACATATACAGCAGCGAGCCAAATCCCACACCGCCGCCTCCCACAAAGCGCCGTCGTGCCAAGCGCACTGAAGATGAACGCATCGAATATCTCCGGAATGACCCCTACGTTGCCCAGTTTGAGGCATACAGGGTGCTGTGTGCCTCGTGCGACAAGTGGATTAGGCTCAGGCCGAATTCGACCTATTGCAGCATACCCTGGGATGCTCACCGGAAAAGCTGTCTCGCCAAGAAGATGTATGTGTTCCATCGCGCTTGTTCCTCACATATACTTAATAAAATTTCTAGAACCTCTAAAAACACCTATGCTCTCGAACAGCGCAACGCCGCCTTCTCAAAGGATCCTGACGTCCGGAAATTCGACGCTGAGCGCGTGCTGTGCGCCCTATGCGACTGTTGGGTTCCTGTACCCGTTCCCGACGACCGTGAACTCTGGGCTCAACACCGTAATGCATGTCGGGCGCGCTCTCTCAGCCACCATCACCATTCCACGTCCAACCAGAGCACAAATCAGCCGCCGCCGTCGTCGTCGTCGTCGCAGCCGCAGCCTCATCCGCAGCCGCCTCGCCGACCGACGGATTCCCCGCCAGCACAGGCTTCGTCGCAAATACATCCCTCATCCACTCCTGCCCACGAGAGTAGGAGACGCAATGCCGAACAACGAGCAGCTACTCTTCGCGCAGACGCCCTCATTCTCTCCGTCGAACCAAACCGGGTCTTCTGCAGCCTCTGTCAGAAATGGGTCCAACTCCGACAAGATTCGAGCTTCTGTGCCTACCCGTGGCTACAGCATCGCGGCAAGTGTTTAATGCGGAGGTACGGTAGTTCGAATTCTTGATTTATTCAGATCTTTATTAATCGGAGTTCCTGGATCTAGTCAAAAACGGGCGCAGAAGGAGCGCGAACAGCGTCACTCGACCTCGGCACCGTATCCTCTCCATGCGCAACCGCCACGGCCGCGCCTGGCTGAGGTGGAGTCGGAGGAAGACGAAGATGCAGAAGGCAGCTGGGATGAGGACGTCGTTGGTCCTCGTGTCGGCCCCTCGGTGTCGTTCACACCGGCCCAACCGCCTCCGAGAACCTCGACGACATCACCTTCTCCCTATGTCGATTTGGACAGTCCTGATGGGAGGTGAGTGCATCATTCTATCGTTATTCCCACTACCGTAATTAATATCGATTGTGATGTAGGTTATCTCATATCCATACGTCTTTAATACACCTCTTCCGGACAACGTACTCTGTTCCTGATACGGATTTGACTGTGGCTGCTTTGGTTGGGTTTCTCAATGCAGGTATGCCAGAAGATCGGTGGGAGGAGTTTGATTTGCGCGAGGTTGTGAGAGGCGTTGGCGCCCTGGCTCGTGAAGGCAGGGGGGAGAGGAGGGTTGAGTTAGAAGGTGATATCGTTAGATGGAGGTGATTCTCCACTTCTTCACCGCATAGATATATCTATTGTTTTGTGCTCTTGTTGTCTGTCTTTGCTTTCGTCGCTGCTTTCTTGGAATCTTGTAATCTGTGTATGATATACGGCATGTATCTTATTATTGGACTCTTATTGTTCTTACTGTGGATTTCTTTCCAAGATATATGTATTGTGGGGCGCGAAGTTCGAATTCGCGAATTTGATTGGAATTTTGATTTAGATAAAATTATATCGAGCTCTTGAAGATCAACATTTTGCTGCAAGTGCGTTTTATCATACGCCGATGGTGAAACGGTTATCATGCTTGCCTTCCATTGCCTATTTCATTGAAAATTAGCAAGCGGTAGGGGTTCGACTCCCCTTCGGCGTATAATTTTTTTTCCAACTAGATTTGATATCAGGACTCAGGAGCCAGGGCCCAGGGGACTCAGGAGTCAGGACTAAGGAGTTAGCGTGGCACGGCACATCCATTATGTGGCGTGTAACAACGATACCGTGATATCCGTGAGTCGGCACTTAGCAAGCCGCTTTATCAGATAATTTTACGGTTACGCACGAAGCCTCCAGGCAAGTCACGGTCTGTATCGACTTCGAGGGAAGCATCTTGATACATTAATTTACCCTTGTTTCATGGATATCGGGGTCTTTTCTGACTTGAGTACGAGTCAACATATGCCTGCTCTCGGCCTTCTCGGTCTTACTAGTCCGTTCTTTATTCTTCTTGTTGATACTAGAATGCTACGGAGCATTGTAGAATTAGTATAACAACACAATGCCTTACTGGGATATATAAATATTGTCTTTACTGTTGTATTAGGATCTTAATCTAGTTTTACTACTCTTCGACGTCCACTTAACAGTGTATGATCTAACTTAGCTTCAAATCTGATCGGTTACGTCTCGCTACTTACGTCAAGTGCTTGTTGGCACCCTTATGGGTCTCTTGGTGGTTAGAACTCGGCTTTCGGACATCCTCACTGATAAATTGGGTTTTGCGCCAGAGTTTATTACCTCGTGTATTACTCGATTATTAAGTCCGATTCTTAACGCCTCGCTTATTTTCTCACGGCGTGCATATTGTTCATCTTAAGCATGGGCTGCAATTAGTTGACTGCGCTGCTTTGCGGTTCATTGTCTACATATGTACATGGGCTCTATAGTAACTATTCTTTGTTACTTGAAGGGATTACTCTACGTATAAGTTCATATTCACGTCATCCTTCTTTACTAATACCGTGCCGTTGATATCTCGTTCTGCAGTAGGTTTTTCAAAAGCGGCATGTCTCGTTGTGATCTCAAAAACCTTACTTGGACCGTATTTTTCGCGGAATGATTGCATTCCTTTGACTGTTTTGTATGGCTCTGTCGTGGTTCCTTTGTGCTTACTTTATGACACACCGTGAGCTCCCGATGAATTCTTCCAAAGCTTTTCTGTATGCCTGACTTGGAAGCCCAGTTTCTTCAAAGACCGGACGAAGTTGGAGGGTCAGTCCCAGGAGAGGACTAAAACGTCGGGAGAACATGATATCTCTTGAATCCTAGCCTTTCCGCTTGACCGACTCGTGTTTAGGCGGGCCCACCCGGTATCGTCGTCGTTATAGTTTATAGTTTGCTGTAAAGGCGTTGCTCGTTCATATCCTGATGCATCTGTGTGCTTTGTGCCGATAAACCTCCACAACTTACCCGCAGCCGAGAAGACGTCTATATCCTCCGCTCTTAGCTTTCTCATGTCCCTGGTAGTTCATGAAGGTTTCAAATCCATGAAGGAAGCAGGATCAGAGTTGTTTGTAGTGACCTTTCCGGTTCGTTCAATCTGATGAATTTCATTTAAAAAAAATACAGAATGAGCCACTATGTTTGAAGCAGCTTACAGTGCAGGAAAGAGACGAAAAGGAAGCCTAACCATGTTTTTATATTGAACCGTCATATCGAAAATCATGTAGTATAGTATTAAACGAGGCCCCACAAGGCATTCCGTGTCGCCTTTTAGAGTCCGTTAAAACCAGAACTGTATCGTAATCCTTTGGTATTAAGGCCGACGAGACCGATAGGCCTCATAGACGATGAATTTTGCTGTATGATTGCGGTCACATCATGTTCCATCTCGCGTCGCAGCCAGAATAGCATACACAGCTTTAGTAGACCTTGGTGCGCGTAGGAGCCGAATGAATTGGACATCGCCGGTGTCGCGAACGCATCTGTTCGTTCACGGCCACCAGGAGCATCGAGTCGGTAAGATTCCGGTTCGGAATGGATGGTGATCATATTTTGAGTTCGGAAAGTAATGAATCTTTCCCTCTTGGGCAGTGTGAGGATGGAAAGGCTTTAAGATGATCGGAAGAAGGGAACAGGAACCGCTATTGTGCACCGGACGGACCGTTGATGTCCGCCGAGGTTCACACAGCATCCCATGAGTGGTTAAATAGGGTCCTTCGCGCTTAGCCTAGCGTTAATTCGCACAGTAATGACTGACACCGACCACCATGACTTCAACGACAGTGAAAGATCTTCTTCGGCCTCCCCAGCACCAGCCCGGAGCACACCGCATACTTCGCGCACGAGTTTCTCTACACGTTCAGTGTCGCCAACACCGTCGGTCTGGTCTATGACGAGCTCCTTGCGTGCAGAAGCATATATTCAAGAGTTCGGACGCGACCTGAATAATATCTCGGAAATATACCACCTCCCCGCCGATGCAGAAGAGTTGGAACGCCTAGGTGAGATCAACTTCGGAGGATCCGAATCGGACATAACACGATTTAGACCGCCAGCACGAGATTTTCAAAGAGGTCATTGGAAAATATATTCCCCCGCTGCCGCAAGCCATGGCTGACGATGCGCCAGGAGAGGCAAAGGCCGTTTTAGACTTGGGCTGCGGTAGTGGCGCTTGGTATGTTATATGTCTTCTTTCGAAATTCGATTCACCGTCCGGAACCAGGATAATGGAAGCGGCGGCTGACTTTCCGCATTGTAACGCCGTTGCCATTGATCTCGTGCCCATGCAATCGCTGTATGCCATCCTTCATTCTTGAGACTTGTAGGCCGAAATCACTGACACGCATTGGTGTTCGCTAGGAACATGCCTCCTAACTGCAGGTACGAAGCCGCGACGCGTCTACCCCTGAAGTTTGATTTCCAAATTGACGGCCGAGCAGGAGCGAAGTCGATGACGTCAATCTCGGACTGGAGCATTTCTACGGGGACTTCAACGTTGTCCATTGCCGGCTCATATCTTCTGGTGTAAGTCCTATCTCCAACTCACACGGATCCTTTCTCGGATTTTATCCCTCTCGCAGATCCAAGATTACGAACATATGATCGACCAGATCAGTCATGTCCTACGGCCGGAGGGATTGATCGATCTTACGGAATGGGATTTTCATTGCTACAATGAAGATTTCCAACGAATTGAATTAGATGATGTGACCACGATGGAGAAACCATGGTGGCCGCGGTGGCTGGCGTACCTCGAGATGGCCGTACGGCGTAGAGGCGGAGACGTCGACTCTGCGATTCATATCCACGACTGGGTTTCGCGTCATCCGCGGTTTGAAGACGTGATATACAACGAGTATTTCATTCCCGCGACACCGTGGGTCACAGACAGCACATTGGATTTGCATATTGGAGTGGCAATGAGGGAAAATATGCAGGTGAACCGATCCTAGCGTTAGCATCACCGAAGGCCTGAATTTTCATTTCGTAGATATTCCTCAAGTCGGGGCGGCCGTTGTTATTGGGCAATGGCGTACCGGAACCGCTCGTGGACGAGCTACAGGCGAATGCGCACAAGGAGCTGCTAGAAGATGATACACGCTATTACATCCGCATGCAAAGCGTCTACGCTCGTAAACTTCACCGATCGCAGCCCTATGGTTAACGGAGACCATTATTGTAGACCATAGCTGCAACACATTGGGGGTAGCTATCTCTGTTCGTTCATCACGGTCTATCGTCTTAAGGAGAGAGAGACTTGCAGCAGCCGATGCGCACAGGAGTCGTGCGTGGTACGTGGCTATGTTCAGCCTATGCATCTGTCTACTGTTGAGTCGGGCAGGAACGTGGTATGAGATGACTTCGGAAGCTATACAGTGACCGTCAGTTTGGAAGATATTTGAGGTAGAATTCTGTGCTGTTACTGTTCCAGCGATATTGGAAGTCCTAGAGGGGAAGCATCGATAGGAATGTCCCTCCTCCCATCACTTAACACGTGCGACTAGAAGCCATCTGATACCCCCATTATTATCTTGTTACGACGTCGAGTTTAATCCGTGAGAGAGATTCCCAAGGAGATAAGTTCAAGGTTCTTCATCCGATTGCGGTAGGTGGGGTCATGGGAAGAGGTGATAGATATGATGACTCGGCGTTGCGTACCTAATGGCTTGATTACGAAGCGTCGAAGTAGACACGGAAATAGCGTACGATTTGAACCGATTGAACGTGTTTGCCAGGCGGAGATGCGATGTCCATGTCCATCGTCCATTTGATCTGATCTCATGCTGTTTGATCGTTTTAGCCTCCGCCTTCCAAATTGAAGTCTGTGACAGCAGGCAATTATCCTACACTCCCTAACAAGAGTCGCGCGAATGCCAAGACATCAGAAAACGTGGAACAAGGTGATAACTGCATGCAGGTGTTTCGGCTGATGGTAGATAAGATGGGAGTGATACGGCTAGTGCGGAGTAGGTAGTCTTTAGATGAGCCCAGGGAAGGGTACTGCCAAAGCATTGCAAGAAAACGGAAGAAGTCTGATAACAAGATGAACTTGACACCGGCGCAACCGCACATATCGATATTGTCATGGAATCGCGCCTTTTCAGCAATGAGATAGTAGAGACACTGCTGGAACTGGACAGATCCGATAGATAGTGGCAATGTCAAGAAACAGAATGATGAACCGCAGACAGTCCGCTTGGATACCTGTGATTGAAGGTACTGCGAGGAGACCAAAGAACTGCTTGTAATGCCTTGCTGAACGAGGGGAGAGGGGGGGTTCGAAGAGAAGTGATGCCGACATCCGCAGCCCGAACAACCCAGAAGGACCTGCGTGATAAATGTAGCGTCGATCGCCGAGAAAAGGCTGACGAACATCCGTATTGAGCTATGAGAAAAATGAGGATATACTGAAGACTCACGGAGAATAGTAATACATCAACATTGCCTTGAAACTCTTTGACCATTTGTGAAGTGGATCCCTCCATACCCGATGCAATACGGAGACGAGACTGCTCTCCGTATTGTGCATCATCTGGGAATCAGTCCTCGTAGTTGGGGAAATCGTTGCCTACACCTGTCACGTGTAGGCGGAGGTCATCGGAACACACATATCCCAGCCTATGATAAGATGCGTCCTCTTAGATCCTTCCGCCA